GCAAGAACCGAGTGTACAACAAATAGGCAGGAAGAAATGGAAATGGATTGGCATACTCTGAGGAAACCATCAAGTGACATCACTAGACAAGCCATTGCTCGAGTGGAACCCAAAAGGAAAGCGGCGAGTTGGTCGTCAGTGCAAGGGTGACTTGGAGGAGGTCATGTGAAGAGGAGATGAAAGCATGTGGGCAAACTTGGAGCGGGGTGAAAAAGTTGGCAGAAAACCGAAGGCAATGGAGACGCTCAGCTGAAGCCCTATTTTCCTCTAGGAATTAAAGGATATAATAATATAATAATTATTTTAGGAATTTAATACAGAGTTGGAAAAGAATCAGCCATGTGAAGAAAACACTTTGTATTCATATAATTTTAGCTTCACTATTAGCCTGGCAAATATTTCTCTTCTCCTACAACGAATCTTCGTTGGTAACTGGCCTGAAATTTGATAAAAATAGTCGAAAGCTTGTCTAAATCTAGTTAAGCAGCCTTATATTGATCCAATGGACTTGTGTGTAGGTCATGATACCGTTGATTACACTTTTATTCAGTTTAGCTTTCAATCGCTGATTCTCATGTCTGAGGAACTCTCTTTTAATGAGTTTGAAATTATTTATTACATAAGAACAATTAAACTTTTTAATATACATAACTGTTTTATAAGATTGAAGAGAATGTATTCATACTTCTCATAATCAGTTTATTTTATTATCTCCGATTACGCAGTTAGCAGTGAATTATCATCACTCTAACAAAAAATATGTTAATTTTTTATGTATATCTTATGAAATATTAATACAGGAAACAAAAGTTTTTTTGTTCAGCGAAGAAATATCTCTTCTCCACGACTTCATTTTCAAGCGGGGTAGAGTTGAAGTGGATGAATAACAAAGCTTTTAAAGATTATTAAATAAGTGAACCGGCATAAAGATTTTAAAACTGTGCGTCAAGTGTTGTCTGAAAAATTAATAGTGCGATGATGACGATAGTAAAGACGGCGAACATGAAGTGAAGTGGAATGAATTCATGTAGTAAAATAGAATAAAATAAAAGAACATAACTATGAAAAAGATAAAAAAGAGGGTTTAACAAAACGTTTCTAAATACATAATTTAAGATTTTGTCAATGTATGGCTAGAGCTTCGGCTATGCATAAGTGGAGTAAACGTAAGCTTTCGGAGTGGTTGGATTTGGTCCTTTAGATAACTTCAAAGGATAAATCACGTGTGATGGCCTGAATGACCTGATTCCAGGAGGTGTTCACAGACTGAGAACTTCGACGTCCTTTGCTCACTTTTCGTTACTCAAACTGGGTAGTGTTCAGCTACGCATCTATGGAAAACACACTTACAACGTCCAATGTAATCAGCTCCACACAAGCATGTGAATGAGTATATGCACATAGAGGTGAACCTAAATGGTAGTTTATCCTTGATACATCATCGAATCATATTTCGGCTGGTAAATACCAAATGTAAATCAGCTGCATAAAACACCATTTAATGCATTTAGAAAAATGACTTTTAATTACTTCAGGAATACTGTCATCTTTGAAAGCCAAACTCATAAACAGTGTCTTTTTTGGCACTGTGATTTGGTCGGAGACAATTTCTTTTTTCATGTTGCTACCAATAAGCCTTCTAGTATATCTATTGTTTGAGAGAGTTGCGCGGAGGCGTGCTAATTTCATGTCAACCATATCCACAGAGAAAATGTTCCCAATTCTAGAGCATAGAGAACAGAAATATTTCTCTTTCTACCTAGAGGTACCCAACTGTTGAATTTAGTGTACCGACCTGTAAATGTTGGCTTTCGGTAGATCAACCTTATAACCTGCCATCCTCTTTTCTATCTAACATCACATGTAAGAAGTGAAATGTAGGATTTAGCTCCACTTCGACAGTGAAAAGGATTGACAGGTGAGAACAGTTAATTTTTCCAAGATGCTCGGCAGTCGAACAATTTTCATCACAAATAATGGTGTCATCAATATATCGCCCATACATAAACAAACTCGAGATTGTTACTTTCATTGAATCATCTCTAGGCTCACCATGAAGACATCCTCTAGGAGAGGTCGTAAAGAAGACCCAATGGCTACCCCATCCTTTTGCTTACAGATGACATCATTGGATCTATAATGCACATAAAGCGTATATCTCAATAAAAGCTGCTTCAGATAGTTGGCACTCCAATATTTAGGCATCCTAGATCAGTGTAATCACACAAATAACAGATGGTTCCTACTAAAGGCTCATTTTCAAATAACAAGCAAACACCTAATGAAATCATATACTTGCAGGTCACAATAATTCCATCAACGCAACTAACGAAGTCAAAAGTCCTCGAAAGATTGCTTTTATTTAGAATTGATCTTACTGGTTCAAGCATTTCAGCGTGCCGTTTCGCTGTAGAATGATAAGGAGAGTTAAGCAATTTTAAAATCTTCATGCTAGTTCATTTATTTAATAATCTTTAAAAGCTTTGTAATTCATCCACTTCAACCCCACCCCGCTAATGCATCATTTTAATTATTTTATTTTTATCAAATGTACAGTACGGACTGAGCAATTTCTAATGCCACTTAATGCCTTCTTTTTCCGTAATATAAATACGACTGCAGAGATGCTTGAAAATGAAGTCGTGGAGAAGAGATATTTCTTCGATGAACAGAAAACTGTGTTTTCCTTATGAATTAATGGGTACATTTCACAATTTGAAATATATGTGCTAATCATTATGAATAGGTTTATCTTCCAATTGTTTTGTGTCACTCTGACTTTCGTTCAACAATCTTTATTGGTGGACTGATTTATGGTGATAGACAAAATGTATGTTGCTATGGAATTATTGCTGGTTTTATAAAATGTCAGAGGTTGCACATAGCTGACGATAACCGATCGGATTAAATGGATTCATATTATTCTGTGCTACAAGTTTTAGATTATTCGTTTTCCGAGTGGTCTTATCTAATAAACCAAACTACCAGTTCACTTTTGTAGCTGTCCAGAAATCAGATGGTTTGAACGAATTTGGCTGTCTGAACTGAATCATACTGGCCATACCGTTATTGATCTTCGCCATTAAACGAGCTAAACTGTCACCCGGTGATTCGGCTCTTAACTCTAACCTCATTTGTGGAACTGGCTTGCCGCCGCACGATTTCTTCAACGTGTTTCTAGTCAGTCTTCATTTATTTCTGCAAGTTTGTTGAGCAATAGGTTCTTGGTTGGTTTGTCGCCAGATTTTCGTGATGTTAGTCCTATATGACTGGCCATCTGATCTTCGGTACCGATCGAAGGCAGTTGTTGATTAAAGTCTTCAGTAGCCTGATTGTAATGTCTTTGGTGACACACTAATTCTCTAAAGAAGATGGAAGTGCTGAGTGACTTTACATTATAGCTGAAATTCTGATCCTCGTTCTTTACTCAGCACAGTAGACTTCCAAATTAATGAAGGTCTTTCTTTCACTCTGGATTCCATCTGGTATTTAAGTCTACATCCATGCCTTTTCTATTCGAAATGATGCTGCCTAGTTAGTGAAGAGAAAAAATTTCTCCCAAATTTCTCTCGCTGATTGGTGCTTGCATTTGTCGGCTATATATCTTTATCGCCTCGGTCTTCCCCCATGGTCACTAGAAAAGATTTCTTTCCTGTTTCTTCCATCAACGTTTTGGATTTCACCAGAGGATATTTGACTTATTATGACATTAGACATACATTTTTTTGCAAAGGTTAGATCTTCCAGAGTTTTCTTACCAGTTCAACATATTCCTTTCTTCTGGCTTCCGAAAGACAATATGAAGCATGATCCGATCCACCAGAATGAGAAGCACTATAGGTGATGGCAGACAGCCTTGTCTCATTCATGTCTTCACTTCTAAAGCTTTGATGATTTTCGCCTTGTGGATAACTTGATTTGTGGTTTAACCACGCATGGTGCATAGTACGTCCTATGTACTCAGCTCCGCACGAGCAAGTAAACTGGTATATGCATATACTGATTAGTGATTAATATCCGTTAGAGAATCATTGAAAACCAGGGAGTGCTGGACAACTCTTTCGTCTTGTTTTGAGACTTCACAACATTATGCACCTAGGACTCCACCTGTAATGAAACCTGGGACCTACAAGTTACCAGGCCATGCTTACTGCTTTTTCAGCCACGGACCAAAATTCAATGACCCATGAATTCTAACCTCTGTCTTTTCATGATTTTAGTGAGGATTCGATCCCTGGTGGTTTCGTGAATGCATACCAATGAAGAGTCCAAAAACTAGACGAAATAGTTGTTCAGTAATCCCTGTTTGTTTTCAGTGATTCTCTAACTCAAGTCAATCCGTGATCAACTCCCTACAAACTAACAGTCGAAAATGGAAAAAAAGTGTTTTTTTTGACACTCGCTAATAATTCCGAGCTATCTAGATTAACATTAATCAGTGATATTATGATATTATAACTTTGAAATCAAGAAAAATTTCCTACAGAAATACTGGCGAATTCCATTGTCAGTGACAATTAAGACTTATGACCAAAATATTCATTTCAGTTTAACCATCATCATCATCATAACAAAAATATTTGTCGAAATCTAGGAAGGACAAGAAAGACGTTGTCACGTACCTAAAGGAAATATTTTTTGTGCACAGAATTATGTTAAGATTAATAATAAAAATTAATATGATTCGTATGCAACTGAAAACAAAAACAAAATAATTAAAAATGATTGTATTAATAAGCCTACATTAAATGTTATACTCTTGATTCATATAACATATTCTAAATTCACCAATCAGAATTGAGTGCATAGGAATTCTGTTTATTTAATTGGTTGTTTATTCAGGGTCAAATAAATATGAATCCAAAGCTAATACAAGAGACTTTTAGTAGTTATCTCATTATATTCATAGAGAAAATACAATATACGTTACAATAGAAAAAATGGATTTATTATTTAAGAAGAATTATGCAATTTATGCTTTGAAATGATAAAGAATAAAAATGGATAATTATAAATTTCATTTCCATGAAGATACTTTTGATAAAGTGATTATGAAGTAGACAGAAGGGAATGTAATAGAACTGATCCAAGTGGTTATGTTGACTACTATCAGAGCGATAAAAACCCACCATCACTGCAAGAAGAAGACGTAGAACAACAACAACAGCACTTTCCACATGATTATCAAAATCATAATGAAACTGTAAATATCTCTCGTCCTCCATTACGTCAACAGCACAGTTTGCATTCACATCATCATCATCCCCATCATCCTAACCATCATCATACAGTATGGAAAGGAAGACAGAATACATATCGTGAAACATTTATAAAAACTATTTATTTAACTTGTGCAACAATTATTACTACATGTTTTATTATTGAATGTATCCTAATTCATTTAGTTATACTACCATGTCAACATGAATCAGGATTTCTACCGACAGAATGTACATATGTAAAAACAGAATTAGTAGCATCATCAGTTAAATGTGAGAATAAATGTTCAAAGGATAGATCAACTTTTCAGTGTATACGTGTATTAGTTACATATTCTAGATTGAATGAGAATTTTACAGCAAGTTTATTTGATAATATAGCAACATATCAATACTATCATTCACTTGGGGTAAGTAAGTAAGCGTTGTTTTTTTTTCTTTCTTTCTTCTCTCGCGTAGACGAAATATTGACTGATTAATTAGAACAGTGTTCACAATATTTTCTTTTGCTTTGACGACTGAAAGTATATGTACTATTAATAAGCTGTTATGAAATATATATCACTAAAATTAAGACAGGTACGTCGGTGGCATAGCGGTTAGGACACTCGCCGACCATGCACATGGTCCGGGTTCGATCCCCGGCTGACACACTCCTTTTCCTCGCCAAGCCAGACATGATACTGGTGAAGAGGAAAGGTTGGGAATAGTGGTAGCAACCCTATCCTGTAAAATAAACACTGCTATAGAAACTTCAAATCTTCTAGCTTGAAGCCCTATGTTCCACTGGGGAACGTGAAGGATAAGAAAAACTTAAGACAGAAAGTAGATTTACGCAATAAAGAATATGCAATAGGAAGTCAGTTGAAAAGAAGAAAGTAATAGTTAGTGTGCTTTTTGGTTTTACTGTTTATGGGCACTTGATTTTTTTTATTAATTTAGCTTGATTCCATACAGTACTTATGGCACACGTATGGAATTTTTAGCATCTGATATAGGTTACGCAAATTTTGTAGGCCAACCATTGATATCAGGTGCGCGTCGGAAGTAGATCGAATCCCGGACCATTTGCATGATCAGTGAGACTCCTAACTGCCGTGCCACTGATACCCATGCTGCTGACTGAAGGCGAATACTATGTCGTGAATTTCATTTTAAAAAAGAGGCCAGTTAATAGATGCCTCACCAGTGGAATAAATTTAGCTTACATTTTGACAGTCTCATGGTGATGGTTCCATTAACTAGAGTGTATTAACTAGAGAGTATTCAGCACGCCTAAATTTTTAATGATGATCAAGTTTACCTTCGAGTCAGTGAGACCGCAGCGACATCAGTTGAAATGGCTGAAGACGAAAGACTTGGTGAGACGAATGTTTAATTGGAAACTGGTGTCTCTAGCCAAATTGTGTATACCTTATCTTCAACTCACCATCTGCACAGTTCGTCGTGTTGTGGTACTTATTGACTTGATGTTGTGTTTCTTTGAGTATCTTTCACATCTCCCATGTATCTTTACAACGCTGAATCATTTTTCCTTCTCTGAAATCAAATGTATCTCCGTGCTAGTTGCTGTTTTTATGCCCATGAATATCTTTTTGTATACTACTGATAAATCATACCAGTAGCACTCGCCACAGCCTGACACCAGAATATTAAAGTAAATAACATCGTGTTTCAACTGAAATATAAACGAAGTTATTACTTTTAAGAATTGATCACGGATTGATATCAGTTAGAGAACCATTGAAAACCAAAGAGTGCTGGAAAGCTGCTGTCTCATCCTAGTTTCGAAATCATCGGCAGTACGCACCCACTGGGACCCGATTCAATGGCTGAACGGTATACGAGCTAGCCTCGTAACCGGAAGGTCCTGGGTTCGAATCCCAATGGGTGCGTACTACCGATGATTCCCAAACAAGGATGAGAGAGCAGCTGTCCAGTACTCCCTGGTTTTCAATGATATCAATCCGTGATCAACTCGTAAAAATATAGCTAACGCTTACAGATCAAACTAAAGAGAATTAATTACTATATATATTAAAAGCTTGGTAGAATATTGGATATCTTCACTCATAATTGACGTTTTTCATATATGAACTCCTTATTCAACATTTTTGAAAGGATTTTACATATAAAAGAAACCGTGAGAGTCAAGAAGAATTTGTTTTTTAAACTGAATGATTTAATTGGGCTGAGTTTAAATCCCAAAATGATATTTCCTACCTTTTTTCTCGTGATACTCAGTATGATATGCATGTGGGAAATAGAAGTACCATTCGAATTTCACTACTTCTGAACACACTATGCAATTACATAATCATCGTATTCACATTTGAACTACCTAGTAGAATGTATTATCAGTTCTTCATCAGGAAAGTAGTCATGTCTGTCAGTAGAATAAGAATCATTTTCTTTTTCTTCAATGTATTTTAAGAGTCAGACGATCTGGACTTATAAATTTTATGGATACCTTGAGAAGTGCCTCCTGTCTCAAGTACTCGATAGTTAGGCTGTATCACTGTATATCGGAAGACATTTTTAGATCATTTGATAGGATACCGGCTGACAAGTAGCCATGACCTCTCTGATGGTACGGAGTTATTACTGTGTGATATGCTTCGTGATTATTGACTGAGTTGTCCACATTGGTGTACTTAAACTCTAAATGAATCTAATTTGTCGAATGGACATCCACTTTTAAATCATGTTTCTGTGCATTTATTCTCATGATAAGTTGTTTACCACTTTCTTCTGATGTTCTAGAGTCATTCGCTGTCACTTTCTCAGTAGTTGTCTTATCTATCGCTTAGTGTTACTTCACTACTGGAGATGAAGTCCTCAGGTTTTATTGTGTCAACGGATACACTAAAGTTTACTGTTTTTCCTAACACTTTTATTTAGTCAGAGGTGAATTTTTCTGACCAGAGGCTGTCTATCCATTTTGTTCAATAGATAGTGGACGGTATTTCCTCAGTAATCACAGTTATCTTAACAGGGAATTTCCATTTCACTAACTTGTAAAACATTTTTCATCTAAGTATTCCAGGATTTATTGAAAGCGGATGGTCTTATGGTGGATCATTCTCTAAATAACATAACAAATTTATCCGGATGCTACCGAGTTTAGTTTAAATTTTGCAATGTTCTATCAAACATTTAGTGATGTATTTACAGTGAGTTATTTGTAAGAAATGTTAAAATATCTCAGATCCAAATTAAAGATGTTATATCCTTATAATACTAGTTAGTAGGAGTAACACTATCTGACAAAAACAAGTGTAAAATGGGAGACTGTTGACTGGAATGTGAAAATAGCAACAAGAAAGATGAATCCATTCTGATTAGTTTTAAATTGGTGTACATAAAGCCAAGAGGTTTAAGTTCAGAATAAATTACTACCAAATATTTTTACGTCAATGCCACATCATTTGTTCTTTGAGAAAATCTCCTTATTTTTGTAGTTCATTAACAAATTTGAAACAGCTGAGTCAAGGGTTCGAGCTCCATTAAACATTTAGTTCTACATATGAAAATATGAAGTGTCACGGGGTCTTATACATATATGTGTATTTGTTGCGTTTAGTAACACAAAAAATACTGTGGTATACTTCTCAAACCACTTTATGAAAATGAATTTGTCGGCTAGCTGAGTCACACTATTTCTTCGCTTTTGTATTTTGGCACAATTTTCACGTTAACTTTGTGAAAACAGGTTCATAACATTCAAACCTAACTGATTTATTATTATCTTAATTGTTGAAGTTAACTAATCGAAAGAATAATATGTGGAGAGTGCTATATAAGAAGACGCTCATAGGCATAAACCATCGAATAGCAGGGAGATAGATGATGCGATATTAGAGAAATCAAATGACTCAGCGTTGTGAAGATACATGGGAGACGGGAAAGGAAAACGAAGAAACATAATATGAACTCCAGAAGTAGAACAGCACGAAGATCTGTGCAAATGGTACGTTGAAAATAAGTTATGCATAATTTGAGTATATAAAGATACCAGTTACCAAATAAACATTCGTCTTTTCCAAGTATTGGTTTTGTAGGGATTTTGTTTGACTGCGCGGAGGATTTCATCATGAGCTGACATCAATTAGAGAATCACTGGAAAACCCAGAAGTACAGGACAGCTGTTTCATTCTAGTTTGGGACTCTTTAACAGCACGCACCCACCTGGTTCGAATCCAGGATTTTCTCTTTACAAGGTGCTGAAGAGTCCCAAACTAGGATGAAACGGCTGTCCAGTACTCCCAGGTTTCCAATGGTTCTCTAACTGATGTCAGCTCATGATGAAATCCTCCATGCAGACATTCGTCTTACCAATCTTTTGCTTTCAGCGTCTCAATATGTTTATAAGTAAACATAAAACAGGTAATTAAAATAATAACCCAGTGATACTTCATAAATTTCGTTAGGACTTGTCAACCGAAGAAACTTATTGCATGACTCTCTTAATCAGGTCATAGGATTAACAAATATGTCAAGGGCATAAACTTTGCGACAAGAGAAAGTAACTCACATCAGCTAGTAAGTGAAAATTGTATTTAGATAAAATGACTGAGCAAAATTTGGACAACATCCTCATAAAAAGTAGATCGGCTATAGTAGAAAATCTGAGTAATACCTAAATCTGAACTTTATTAAGCGTTGACTCAAAAAGAAGCCTTATAACATCATACTGTGTGAAAATAAAACCGATATATTTTAAGAAGTGATTGAAGTCACTTATTTCTATTCTGTAATAACTAGAAAATAATTTATAATACTCTAAAGGAAGAGAATTGTCATGTAGATTATTGGTTTTAAAATGAAAAGAAAAACAGAATGAATGTGATCTGAGCAGAAAGTGGAAAACTGATACCATAGTAAAGAGTGTATATTTATATGCATATATTGATGATGCCGAAACCGGAATCGGAAGGAAGAGATACTCCTTCATCACCCCGAAACCAGTGTGGAAGTCGTCTGCACCCAGCATACACAATAAAATTCGGATGCCCAACACCAATGTTAAGTCATTATTCCGTGTGTATGGATAAGAAAATGTCACTGCGTGTCACGAAAAACATTTCCATCAGCTTGCTGCAGCTGCTGTCAACAGCTACCTTTGCCGGTCGTACATCAGATGGCCAGGCAGAGGTGGTTATTAACAAGAGACATTGGGAAGGAACCAGTTATACGACAGATATAGCGAAGAAAATGGTAATGAACCAGACTTATACTGATGAGATCCTTAAGTGACATAGCGTGCCAGGTCGTTGCCTGAGTGGAATCCGAATAAGAAACAAAGAGTTGACCATCTTACGGTGATATGGAAGATATGAAGTGAGTGAAAGATGAAAGCTACTGAGCAAACGTGGACCTGGCTGAAAGGACTACACAGAACGCGTCAAAA